GTGTAAACAATGCACGCAAGATGTTCGATGAAAATCCCCACACAAAATTCACTATCATAATATTTGATCTGTTTGATTCAGGGCTTTGGAATAACAATGCTAGTCCTATCATGGTTGATTACACTGTACACACTAAGGCAAAATGGTAGAAATGCAGGAAATGCTTTCAGGAAAAATATTTGATTGGTTCCATGAGCTAGGCCAACATGCTTTTGGTGAAAAACTTATTGTTTTCGTTTTCCTTTGTGATAAAATGTCTGGTGCATTCTTTTTTTTTTTTACTCTTTTCCTTTATTTTCCACACAATTCCTATTTTCTTTCAAACTTATCAGGTTATATATTATGAAACCTGATGCATTCTTTTTTCTTACAGGTGATTCTGAACCTACAAAGATGTTTGACAGAATAACTAATCTATCAAACAATAAGATAATCAACTACAGATGTGATCCATTTGAGAAATGGTTGGTGTTAATTGGAATTGCCCCTAGCTCACCAGAGGTTTCTATTTGACTATTTCATAGTATAACATGTTAGCATATAGCACCACCTATGGTAAATTCCTGAGTTTTAATAATATCCTCATACCATTTTGATTTGAGCAACTTTTTCAATTGATCAGCAGCGAAGTCAAGCTCTTGAAGCACATGCAGCATATTTTCTCTCTCAAAGTACAAAAGATAAGTTAAAATGGGTTCTTTTTTGTTGCCTTCATCAAAGTACATTGGTAACAACCACATATTTATATGCCTTCAACAGGTTACTCACAATGAGAATCCTTTGATTCTTATTTCTTTTGCAACAAAAGCTCTAATCCTGGACAAGTTACTTCAAAGCTTCATGTCACTGAACCATGTTTATTCTCTTAACATATTGTTTTCATTTTCATTAATTTGGGGTTCCTTATTTAGAAAAGCTAATGCTTCTTGTTTCTATCCATGAAGGAAACCCCGCATTCACTTAAAGCAAGCAGAATTTTTCTTTCCTCCCTACTTTCAAGATGATTTTCCAGTTGCCATGTAGGTAATTTGTTACTCATTTTGTGTTTTGAAATAGGGAGTTGCATAATTGTATCATCAACTAACATCTTAATTTTTTATTTAGCACTTGTTATTTTAATGGGAAAACTCACTAGAGAACTACTAAGAAAGTTGAGATCTTTTGGCCCACAAGAATCTTTTTTACACTTAACAGAGGATACTCCTTCCTATCTATCTTGGTTGACTTTTAACTATCATCTCATCTGATCAGGAGGAGACTACATTTTAAGATACCCCTCATATACAACGATTACTGTTGTCGGGTTTAAAATGAAGGGTATGGTAGCCAACCCAAACAGGTAATTATCATTTATCAATCACTTTTTGTAATTGCATTAAATGAATAATATCATATTTGGTTACATTTTATCTTTCAGACAATAAGCTATATGGCAGAGTGCATGGTTGGCCAAGATTCTTTTTGAATTATGTTTCAGGTAATACTTTGAGTCTTGAAGCAACAACTCTGGAAAGAGAGATGTAGTAGAATTACTGTTTTACCCTCTTGTGCAGGCCAAGTGCTTAAAAAGTGGAGAAGCTATTGCAATTAAAAAGGTAATTAAAGATAAACGATACAATAATCGCTTAATGTTTCTTGATGGATCTGATTATGGAAGTATTTGTTCTAATTTATGTCTTTTGGTAATATGTATCCCCTTTCATCTACTTTTCTTGTGAACATCACATTTGTTGCTTACTTTAATTTAGGATCTTCTAAACACATCTCTGGTTCATCCCTTGGCCCTTTCACATCCATCCAAACAGCTTATCCAAGTAAGACTGGAAAATACTAGTTTTCTTGAAGTTTTTGAAATTGTAATATACTCATTTCAATATGGCCTCAAAATGTGTCTTATTTTTAAGATAATGGATTTTGGTGATGGTGGCTATGTTCGTTGCTCCTGTTGCAAGCATTCTTTCCATTCATGAAATTTGCTGATCGTGGAAGATGTTTTCATCTGTAACTTTTATGGTGAGTTTATATCTCTTGATATTTGTACATAATGATATGCATAAATGTATAAATATATCTTATAATAGTAATACAGATAATGCAAATATGCATTACATGTTGCTCTTTACATGCTTCACAAATGAAACTCATCATGATTATCACTGCAATCTTGGTCCAGATGGCACGCGAAGAGATGCTGATGAAATGCCCGAGTTTTGTAGAAGACCGGTTCAATTTGTTGCCATAAGGGAATTTCTTGTTACCATTAATTTGTAACCCACTGAATATATTAAGTTAAAAATAAACAAAAAATATATTATTGTGTTATTATTTGTATATTCAATTGCAGTTGTATTCTTCTTCCTAATTGACAAATCAATTTGTAAATGGGTTAAATACAAGAAATAGCAACAAAAATTAGTGACCAAGTTTTTCTGGTCACTAATTGGAAAAATTAGTGACAATCTTTTATGATCACTAATTGAATAAACCAGTGACGACTTTCTGTGGTCACTAATCGGATAAGACAATGACGACTTTTTATGGTCTCTAAGTAGATAAATCAGTGACGACTTTAATTGTTTAGTGACAACATTTAGTGACGAAAGGGGTCGTCATAGATTCAGTGACCATTATGTTTTAGTCACTATTTAGTGACTACTTTTACATTTTCGTCACTAAACGATTTTTGTGACGGACCTATAGTGACGAAATGTGACGACCAAAATTTTGGTCACTAAATCGTTTAGTGACGAGTCCTTCTACTGTTAGTGACGATTTCATTTTGGTCACTAATTGGTATTTTTCTTGTACTGCTTTTTGGTTGACAATAAGTAGTTCAAAGACATTACCAAAGTGTAATGGATTTCATTGATGTGCAAAAGTTTCCCAAGATGAGGACAAGTCTAGAAATAGAGAAAAATGCATCAAAATACTACACTCGTAGAGGTTTTATACAATTTTAGAAAGAAATATATCATTCATAAAATGAAGTATGGCTAGAAAAGTATTTCACTTGAGGATGGTAACTATACTTGTATTGTTTATGAAGAGAAGAATGTTCCAGAAATTAGGAACGGAAAGAATGTTGATGAAGAGGTAACTGATGGTCAGTGTGACTGGGATGCAAATCTGAAAGGTTCAAAATTTAAGGTAATTCTTATATGTTTTCATATATCGTTTAAGTTAATTTATAATTTCTTAGTTAATATTACATGAATATGTTTTCATATCAAGATTATTGTCAAGAAGAATGAAATTTCATTCACATGCAGCTGCAAGTTATTTGAGCACATAGGTATACTATGCAAGCACATATATAACTCTTTGTGTCATGAAGTACTATAAGATAAAAGATATACCTTCCCAGTATGTGTTGTGTCGATGGGGAAAAGACATAATTCCAACTGATATGATGCTGTATGGGGACATGAATGAGAATTGGACACTACGTTTGTTGGTGAATCTTCTAATCATCAAGATGTTGAAAAGGATTATGAGTTTGAAAAAAAAAATTAGGCGTAACAACGCAATCTGAAATTGATATTAAGAATCCTTCATGAATCAGAAAAAAATTATGGATGTTGATCACATAAAAGGTTTAAAAGTTCAATTGAAATTGCAAGTGAGAAGAAGGCAAAAGATCCAAGGAAGTGTTCTTTTTGTGGCAAACCAGCATATCATGATGCTAGAAACTGTCCTGAAAAGAAAAAAGACCAAACAGAAGATGATTCTCAGAAGAATAAAAAGAAAGGATGAAACAAAGTTAGGAAGTGAACGTTTTTTCCCAGCAGTTTTACAGTTTTGAATTATGGATTTGTTTTAATTTGTTATCTTTATTAAACAGTTTAGTTTCATATTTGAAGATATTATTTTGTTTTGTAGTACATAAAATTCTTATGTTATATGACATTTTATTTGATATATGGTTTTATAGTCGGATATGAGACTGAGATCACCAATTCAAGTCCCATTGCCATCCCTGTTAAAATTCAAGATTTTTCTCAATCACCTTCTGTTCATGTAAAAGCAAGGATGCTTGCAATTCGTCAAGTGTAAGTTTGTAAATGCCCTTTGACTCTTCAATAGAGTATACCACAAACTTGATGTTGTCTGTAGGACTTCATGTATTTTCACAACAATTTTGCCACATGACTCTTGTAAAGTACCTATATATACCTTCCCCTAATTTCATATCCAAAGTTTCAACTGGCATATGAATCCGTTGAAGTTGTGCATGCTTCACTCTAGCACTTCCGTGATACTTAACCTTCAATGACTCCCATTATCGTTTGGCTGCAGTCTCTTTCTGAGAACTGATTTTCAAGATGTTATTGTCTATGGATTTAGATAAACAGGTCTTTGCCTTGAGATCTTTAGAGCTCTAAATAAAGGAGAAAAGGGAGCTGAAACTCAGGTCTTTTATTCGATGGCTAATGGTAGTTTTAATTATATAACCTTAGAACATATAGAAATAAAAGAAAGGCAAATCCTAACAAAATATTGAAATATTCAAACTCCTATGGTCTATAGCTTATTCTTATATGTACTTACAAGATGGACAATTTAAACTTGATCTTTGATATGATACACATGTTGGCTATGTAATGATTCAATGTTAATAGACCACCATTAATAGTTGATATCACGAGAGTCTGAACAAATCACAAGTACTTGACCATGAAATCATAAGAGAATTTGAAAGTAACGAGATGGAAATCGAGAACATTATCTCTTCATTTGTCAGTCTTACCATGTGAACAGCTATATAAAGTGTCCCTGGACTGTAGACTGTAGAGCAATCAAGCCCATAATTAAAAAAAAAAAAAGAAGACAAATATAAGATTAAGAGTGCCCACCTTAAGCAAAAGGGTGAGTGAAAACCAAACTGTTTAAATAATAAGTTGCAAGATGAAAATAAACTAGCTGTGGTTATGTAACCTAAATGTTCTTCTACTAATGGGATTCTATATATGGTCCATAATCAAAACAAAGATAAGAAGTCATCACTCATCTAAGAGATTAACATTTAAACAATCATGGGGGAAGTACCACATCGAGTTATAATTGATACTGTGTTTTCGACTTTTATCGGTGTCAAGTAAGTGATTGTAGGTCTTGTATTGTGTCGGTGGGCCAGCCCATGACAACTCAGGTTTAATAGCAGCAGAAGACTTCATCCACCCACTAATAAAGAAAGCATATTGTTCTATTGTGTTTTCTGGATACACCCACTTCATTTCTCCAAAATCTAGTTCCAGTACCTTGTGTGGTGACAACCGATCCATCACATAAAGGTTTTCACCAGAACTTACAAGCTCTGGATGTGATAAGTCTGGCTTCGTAAAATTCTTGGATTTGAATAACATCCATTTAGGCTTCCCATTCAGATTGAGTCTGAGTTCAGATACAGAGAAATCAGTGTGAAGGGTATATATCTTCCCCTTGAAAGCATGGAAATCAAGGATGTGGAGAGTGGAGGAGACTTGATTCCATCCTCGTTTACCTTCCATACAAAAAGATATTTTTCCTTTACCTTTACTATATGGCGATGATACTTTTCTATATAACATAACAAACACCCACCCAGATATTGAAGGTGAAAAGACAAGGATAGCCTTGATAATTACTTCATGATCACCTATAACTACACATAAGAGGTGATCAGGGAAATAAAGTTCATGCCTTGTGATAGGATTCACAAGCCAGAAGTCGTGGGTTTCCTTCCCCATGAAGATCAGGTAACCACAAGTACATCTGACAAGGATTTTCCCAGCAGAATGGGGAACGATGATTTTGAACTCTCTTCCTTCAAAGTCATTCAGGTGCCATATCTCTTTATTATCAGCAGCATACCGGTTGAAACGTATAGACATGGGTGGTTTGGATGCCATAAACCTGTTCATGTTAGCGTGTGCTAGTGACCTCCATGACTTGCAGACTCCACTGAATGCAAAAAAATCAATAAATCCCAGTTGCATCATAACTAGAAAAAGCACATCATGGTTTAGATCTGAACAAGATCCCACATCACCCTTGTCAAAACTCTTCAACCTCTTCCTGCTAGATGATGATGATGATGATGCATTATCGTTCCCATCTTGATTCTGGTTTCTAGTCATTAATTCCTACACTTTGAAAAGGAAAATTGATACCTCATAAGATACAAGAGTTGTAAACAGGGGACAAGTGTACACATACAAACAGATGCTACCTTTCTCAAAACATTGTAAGAAAAAGGAAAAAACACGCACACAAGAATTAACAACAGAATAAAAGTCATACATCCGTTCAGATTTCAGTGGGTTAAGTAACTGCAGGGTGAGATCCCCAATAAGTACAAAATAGATACACAACAAATGCATGATGCACTAAAATGGTGAAACCATTAATGAGATGGTATATATACAACATGTACGTATACGGTTGATATTTGTCAATTAAATGAGAAAAAAAAAACATCAAGAATCCTACATTCTAATTTTGTTGGTCAAAAAGCCAAGTTATTGGTCTTTAAACGAGGTGCTTCATTTAGCAACACCAAATGACAGAAAGACATATCATCAGTGGGTTGATGATCGGACTAAATCCAACAACTATTAATACCCCCATAAAGCATGCAATCGTCATAAAAAAGCTACAAAAAGAAAACCAAAAATATTAATATAAATTCGTGTTCCAGACAGATGGATGACAGAATATGTTTAACCTCAATAGGGCCATTGGAAAACAAGAGCGATAAAGATAATCTTTTGTTTTGTATTTAAACAAAGCCGCAAAATCGACAAGTCAACTGTTTTTGGTGATAATGTCCACATATGATTGTATTTAGTTTCCTTAACTAGTTCCTGAAATTTTTGTTTGTAGCTTGGATTTGATTGCTAGCTGATTTTGAAAAGAGTCTAAATCATCCAAATTAACACCGTTTATCAATAAGATATTGGAAACTCAAGATAAACCCATTTCAGCTCTATCTCCTACAAACCATTGTACACTTTGTTATTTTTGATATTGATGCTCCAGCACCTATATAAAATGAATAAAAAACTTGTCCTCTAATTATCGTACTAACAGTTGTCCCTAAACCATAAAGCTTATGCCTCCAAGATATGCATCTGAATTGTGCCTAAAAAGATTAAGGAATTCCTAGATGAGCGAGAGTGGAAATTAATTATCAGTGAAAGATTAAGAACATGTACTCTAGTTATCTTACTAATACTTGTCCCAAATTCATAATCAGTTTGATAATTTAATCAGAGTACTGTTACTGTTACAGAGAGAGATATCGATCTACAAATCACCTTGAGGATGGAGGGTTGTGGTCTTCTGGATGTAAAGCTGTGATTTTATTTAGTTTCCTTAATTAGTTCCTATTTGTAATTAGAAACTAATAGCAACACAATTGGAAGATTGATCCATACGAAACTCTTCAAGAACAATTACGAAATATGAACATGATGATCAATATTATAACTAATTAAATTAGTACTAATGTAACATGAGGAACATGTACATCTAAAAGTATTTATAGCATTATTCTAGGCTATGGTTTCATGGTTGCCATATATAACTTATTGCAAAACCATCTTCTGGAATCTTGTAATAATGAGAATTTATAAAAACAAGGTTATTTTAAGAGCTAACCCAACATGATTTATGATTGTGTTTTTAGTCTTATGGTGTATTCGTGCTTTTGTATGCTAATGTGTTTTTAGTCTTATGGTGTATTCGTGCTTTTGTATGCTAATGTGTCAAATAGCAACTCTTGTACACCCATTTGATTCCTGCACTCATTTGGTCCATATAAATACTTCACCGTTATTATGGCATTTGTATATTTAGACCTACGATTCTTCTCTAACGAATTTCTTGAAATGCCCACTACATTACATGTCATCTTATAAATTAAAACAAAAACTTTTATCAAAAGCGGATTTAATTTTGGCATTTCATCAAAGCCTTCATATGCAAGTAAAATACAAACATGTTGAAAAGACAACTCATATGGTGGTAAACTAAAATATAGTTGGGATTTGACAAGGACGAATAAACCGGAAGAGAAAGAAGCCCATAAATACCTGTTACTTAAAATATAGATAGAGGCGATGAAGTTTTCAGTCGATTGTCAACAACATTTCTTCAATAATGAGTCTGCTCAAGGTTTGTATTGTAGGAGTTTCACGATTTTACAATGCCTATATATGCATAGGGTTTGTAAAGAGTTTCACGATTGTTATAGTGTTAATTTTGTTGGAATTCTTATTAGTTTCTTAACTTCGCTTTAGAAAATGGGCCAAGAATTAACTTAGGTAGTTTTGTTATATGGGCTTATAGAATATATATGTATTCATTACTAAAACACCAGACCATAGCGGGAAGGTTCATATCAAGGTTGTTAAGATCGGATCCTACTTAGAATCGTTTTTAGGTTTACAAGATCGGGATCGTGAAATCAGGACTGGGATTCTAAGATCCCACACTGCTTCCATCGCAGCTTGTTCGTCACCATCACTGCTTCCCTGTTGAGTTTAGCATCAAGCCATCAACTATACCAGGTGAAATTTTGCTCAATCACTGAAGACTAGTTATTTTTCTTAATCATAGGACTTGTTTCACATGGAGTTAATTAGCGTTTAAGGTGTGTGTTTTTTTCTTGCTAATCTGTTTTACTTGTCTATATTATATTATCAGTTCGAGTTTGTTGGCCTATACGTGTTTGATTTCAAGCGACTAGTTGAATTGCCTATTAGATGTTTGACAAAATGCACCAGTGAACTGTTGAACAGATGATCTCTAATTATCTTTTTCCTTTCTGCTCATTTTTCCTCTGTTTTTTCTTGAAGAGAATGTTGATTGTCTTGGTAATACACCCCTTATAATCAGAAATATAGCAAATAAAACAAACATCTGATAAATGAATGTAGTGGATTAGACACAATAAAGATAACATAAGGATCTCCAACTTTGATTACACATCACAGCAGCTACAATTCAGTATGACTAGATGGCATGCATGTTAAAATTACATTGACACTAAGCAATATTGGACACTGCCTAAAATTTTTGACTTTAGTACACTCCTGGGATATAAACGTCCACTCAACTTCCAAGGAGCTTAAAGTTGACATATTACAAATGTGACCCAATTACAATTTCCATCTTCTTAATCATACTTATACTTTCAGGTTACCAAAATTAAATAATAATGAAAAGCTTCTCTTTGAGCACAGAAGAGCATAATATCTTTCCAACATTAACATACATCAATCCAATCTTCATCTAGAATAGTGATATGATGTACCCTGCAACCAACATCCGATAATGGGCTTCTTATAAGTGACAGTAAACCTTTTCCCATAAACACCTCTACTGAGCAAATTTTAAAACATGTACAATGGACTATTTTTCTCGCTTTGCTTATTTGGAGGGTATCCATTAACATTTTTTGGTTAAAATACTCGATCTTCTAGGACTTTCTTAATCTTTCTGTGTACAAGCAAGCAAATTAATGTATGTCATGGAGGCAAAATGTTTATAACTTTAGGACAAGTATTGATAAGATAATCAATGTACATGTTTATATATGTATGCGTGTCCCCTGTTTACAACTATTGTATCTTATGTGGCATTTTTCATGTGTAGGAATGGTCAAAAGAAGAAGCATGACTAGAAACCAGAATCATGATGCTGATGCATCATCATCATCATCATCATCATCTAGCAGAAAGAGGTTCAGGGGTTTTGACAATGATGGTGTGGCTCTTAACCATGATGTGCTTTTTATAGTTATGATGAAACTGGGAGTTGTTGATTTTGTTGCATTCAGTGGAGTTTGCAAGTCATGGAGGTCACTTGCATTCTCAAATTGGAACATGTTCATGGCATCAAAACCACCCATGTCCATATGTATTTCGGATGAGTGGTGCTCCCTTGAGGACCTTGAAGGAAAAAAGTTCAAAACCATAATTCCCCATTCAGCTGGCAGGATCTGTTTTGGGTTAACTTGTGGTTACCTGATCTTATTCAGTAGGGAAACCCGTGACTTCTGGCTTGTGAATCCAATCACAAGGCATGAACTTCATTTCCCTAATTACCCCATAGATGTAGAAGATGCTTATGGAAGAATTAGGGCTATCCTTTTCTTTTCACCTTCAACATCTGGGTGGATGTTTGTTGTGTTACATAGACTGAGTAGACCAAAATTATCATTTTCTATAGCGGGTAAACAAGGATGGAATCATGTGGACCCCACTGTTCCCATTCCCCCAATCCTTGATTTACATGCTTTCAAAGGGAAGATATATACCCATCACGCTGATTCTTCTGTATGTGAGCTCAGGCTCAATCCCAATCGGAAGGACAAATGGACCTTACTCGAATCCAAAAATTTTCCGAAGCTGGACTTACCATTTCCAGAGCTTGTAAGTTCGATAGAAAAGCTTTATATGATATATTGGTCTTCATCATCACCGAAAAAGGTTATGGAATTAGATTTTGGTGAAATGAAATGGGTCCCGCCGAAAAAGACAATTAGAGAATATACTTTCTTTCTTGGCGCGAAGAAGTCTTCTGTTGCTTTTAAACCCGAGTCATGGATTGGCCCTCCAATACAATACAAGAGGTATGGTCACTTTCAGTCATGGACTAGCCCTCCAACACAATACAAGAGCTATTGGCACTTTCTTGCTGGACAAAACGTTGTCTTTTCAAAAGGGATGTGGTACTTCCCTCATGATTGTTTAAAGGTTAATCTCTTAGATGGGTGGTGACTTCTTGATTACCACTCTTATCTTGTGAACTTTAGAATTTCGATAAGTAAAAAAAACTTTTAAGACATTTAAAGAGCGCCATTAGTGTATTTACATTTTGCAACTTATTATGTAAACACTTTGGTTGTGGGTGGGGACTCTTATCTTTTGTTTTGTTATGGACTGTAGTCAGGGGACACTCTATAAAGTGTCTCACATGACAAGACCGTTGGTGTAAAGATATTATGTTCTGAATTTCTATATCGTTACTTTCAAATTCTAATATAGTTTAATGCTTGAGTTCTGGTTTGTTCCATCTATTCTGATATCAGCTAGAGGTGTCTATTAAAAAGGATTTGGTACACTACAATTGAATGTATGATGTCAAAGGTGTCGGAGGAAATAGGGTTTGTTTTGGAGATCTGGATCAATTTTGATAGGAAAGATCCCTCTAATGACTTCTCTGGGAGCTTTTATAGTAAATGGAATATACCCCTTGGATCGTGTGAACACTTTCCGAACTATATTTCTACCTTATGTCTGTGTTACAAGAAATTCAGCCTAGGATAATCCAAGAAGACACTTACGAATCTAGGCACAGAAAACGTAATTATGTGTTCGTTTGAAGAAAAAGAGAGCTAATGATTTTTGTGTCTCTTCTCAAAGAGAAGAGCTGTTTATTTATAATAAATTAGATTAAGGTTTCCCTCTTAGGTTTGGGCCGTCATGGCTCTGCCCCTTGGACCCCGCTAGGGGCGCTGCCCCTTTGGAAACCCCAGACTCCTGACTTGTCGTCGACCTGACTTCTAATTTGATGTTATACATGCGTGCACTCCGTACATACCCGTGCATATATTAGAGTACAAATGATGAAGCCCCTTAGCTCACATGTTAGTTCCAATTACATAAAATGACACAGTGACACTAAAAACACAACCAATCCTCCCCCATTTTAGTGTAACCCTTGAACAAACATAACCTTATCAAAACAAACCAAACTAGTACATAATGAAAATATCGAAACGATTGAATTTCCACTTAGTATCATACATTTTCAAATACTCGAGAATCAGGGTGTTCTAAGAATTGAACCAATCAACCCATTTGAATACCAGAAAGTAACATACATTCTAGTTTATTGAATTTCTAGCAAAATACAACTTGACACTATTATAAAGTCGTGTTTCCCAATCCTCTCATGATCGTATCAAGGTCAAGTCCACAACCTCTTGAAATGCGGCTATACTTCACAATCACGTAGGTAAATCCTTTCCATGTATCTGCACATACATTTATCAAAGCAATTATTAAGAAGTTAAACTTCAACCTGGCTAACTTGCAGAACCGAACACATACCTGGGATGAATACTTCATGTGTTCCAATCTATAGGTATGAGCTTTCCATATTGAATTCAACTCCTAACATTATATTAGGAGGGAATTGGGTGTCTCACCATTACATAATTAAATGGATTTTAATCCCACCCCGATTACAGATTTGTGCACTAAGTCTCTTGTCAGACCTTTAGTCAAGTGATCTGCTAAATTTTATTGCGATTTCACAAACTCAACCGAAATCACACTGTTCATGATTAGTTCTCTAATCATACTATGTCTAACACCTAGGTGTCTAGACTTGCCATTATAAACCTGGCTGTATGCCTTAGCCAAAGCGGCTGCACTATCACAAAGGATATAAATAGGTGTTATCGGTTTAGACCACAAAGGAATATCATAAACTAAATTCCTTAGCCACTCTGCTTCTTTACCAGCAACTGCTAACGCAACAAAATCAGATTCCATTTTTGAGTTTGTAATGCAAGATTGCTTCTTGGAAGCCCAAGAAATGGAACCTCCCCCAAGCAAGAATATTGGAATGGTCCTCCATGTTGGTTATCCAACTTGCATACGAATGACCTTCTAAAACCGAAGGACTCCCCAAGTAACTCAAACCAAAATTCATGGTTCCTTTGAGATACTTAAACACTTACTAGTGTACCTGCTCAACTTGCCCACAGCAAAAGCAATATCAGGTCTAGTACTTGTCATGACATACATCAAGCTACCAATAGCCTTAGAGTATTCCAATTGTGAAATGGGAATGCCATTATTTGGCATTAATTTCACACTTGAATCCATAGGAGCACTCATAGGAGAACAATCAGTAAAATTAGACCACTTGATAATTTTCTCAATATAATGACTTTGAGTCATTACCAAACCTTTGTTCATCCTTTTAATTCTTATTCCAAGAATTACATCAGCCTCTCCCAAATCTTTCATGGAAAACTTAGATGATAACAATTTCTTTATTTCATCTACTTAATTTTGGTCGGTACCAAAAATCAACATGTCATCTACATACAAGCAAATGATCACTCTAGCTCTAGTAGCATCATTAAATCTACTATAAACACATTTGTCACATTGGTTTGTTTTGAAACCAGAAGACAAAATAACCTCATAAAACTTTTGATGCCATTGTTTAGGCGCTTGTTTCAGCCCATACAAATATTTGACAAGTTTACAAACCATATGCTCTTTACCGGGCATAATAAAACATTCTGGTTTTTTCATGTAAACTTCCTCGTCAAGTTCACCATTTAAAAAGGCCGTTTTCACATCCATTTGGTGAATTACCAAATTGTGAATACTTGCCAAAGCAATCAACAATCTAATAGTAGAAATATGTGCAACCATAGCATACGTATCAAAATAGTCAACACCGGGTTTTTGTCTAAAACCTTAAATGACTAATCGGGCTTTGAATTTATCAATAGTCCTATTAACATTAATTTTCTTTTTGAAAATCCATTTGCAACCAAGTGGTTTAGAACCTAGAGGCAAATCAGACAACAACCATGTGTTGTTCTCAAGGATCGATGACATTTCATCATCAATTGATTCCTTCCAAAAGGCACTATTGCGAGACTCCATGGCCTCTTGATATGTCTTAGGATCATCTTTGTAATACCCTGATTTCCGGATGTGGAACTTGAGAATTTTATTCACATTAGAGGACCTACTCGACGAGTTGGTTGGTCCCGAATCGTCGTGTAGGAGTTGACCAGGATGCGCGGGATATGAAGTCTACTCGTCGAGTCGAAGGACTAGACTCGACGAGTTGAGTCTGTTTGATGAAACCCTAATTATTCGGGCTTGCACCCTATTTAAAGGACTTTAACTCCTTTACCCTGCCTCCCTCATCACTTTACCACCCTGAGACAAACCCTAATCGAGTACCTTCCAATTGAGAGTGTTTGGAGTTAATGGTGGGTGTGTTTTGGTGCATTCCTTGAAGAGTAGAAGGCTTGGAACAAGAATGAATATTTGGATCCGGCATCATCTCAGTGGTAGCAGTCATTTGAAGGTAAAAAGTCATTATCTTGATCACTTGGTTGTTACATCTCTCCAAGGGCGGATCTTTATTAGGGCCAGGGGGGGATGTGCCCCCCCTGATTTTTTTATCACAATTAGTCCCTATACTTTAATTTTATACATATTAGGCCCAAAAATATAAAATTTTGGCTGTGCCCCCCCCCCCCCTGCTGTAACATCCATAAATTTTACGCCAAATTTAAACTTTTTAAATCATAAATAAAAGTCAAATAATATCGTTTACAAAAATGTTTTCAAATCGATATCCATCAGAGTGTCCCATAAACAGATCATAAGGATGAGGAGCGGTACGGTCACGCCTTCGCCTTGCCACGATCTCCCGAAGTACCTGAAACAATAAACTGATAACTGTAAGCCCAAGGGCTTAGTGAGCTACCCCCAAAATACCAATACCACACTGACAATACCATATCAGTAACAATCAATCAATCAATCAATCAATCATGCATACTGGGCCATCGGCCTGACTGGACCGACCTACCGGGCCTACAGTCTATCTGAGTCTATCCACGCGTACTGGGCCATCGGCCTGACTGGACCACCCTACCGGGCCTACAGTCTATCTGAATCTATCCCGAGCCTTCGGCATGACTGGTCCGCCTCGTGGGCCTGCAGTCTCCCCAGACCGCTCATAGGGTATGTTGGCCTACAGCACAAAGCAGGACCGCCTCAACCCAACCAACAAGCAAATAACCATGTTCGCATAACTATCATATACTGGCATATACAAACATCAAACATATCTGTCACACTGATCATCAACCATAGAATCCTCTCGTAACTAGAGTACCGACCTAGCAGGTCACTAGCATACCAATCCTTACAGATCATAAAAGCATAACATACTATCTATCCTGATTCCGATCTAGCAGATCAAATCCATATGTAGCATACCATAACAATAACAACTAAAGGGCCGGCCTTGGTGCCGTAGACCCTATCGGTATAGTGAGGATAACTCACCTCGCAGATGTCGACTCGAAAAGTAAACTCCAACTCTCGGATCACTTGACACAGGTTCCACCACCTATAATCATAGTACATTATACTCATAAGTCCTTAACCTTATAAGGTACTCCATAACGCACTAGTCAATCCCTGATCAAAGTCAAAGTCCTCAGTCAAGGTCAAGAGTCCATGTTGACCCCAACTACCCGAGTACCCTCGGCTACTCGCCGAGTTCCTCGAAGCACATTCCACTCGCCGAGTCATCGGGGTGACTCGTCGAGTTCCTTCGATTCTCGTTCAAACTTTAAGGCCACCCGTCAAGTTCCCTCCCTGCAACTCGACGGATACACACGCATACATATCCTAGGGGAAACTCATCCAACTCACCGAGTTGTTCTTCAACTCGTTGAGTCTTATGGTAATCTTCATCGGACTCGTCGAGTTGTTCATCCAACTCGTCGAGTCCACAACCATCTCCTTGTGACTCGCCGAGTCAACCTTGCGACTCGCCGAGTCCATTCAGTCCCTTTTCCATACAGACTTGTTTTGAGCCATGCAGCGGCTCCAAATCACAGATCCAGGCTTCTAGGGCATGCTTATCACGTAATGTTGCAAACTTTACGTGCATGCATGGCTATAAAGGCTCTAAATGCCTATTTTAAGTTCTTAATGGA